GCTGTCCACCCTACCAGGTTTTCATATTTTTAAAATTCAGGGGCCCCTGCTTTTTTCATACAAATTGGCACTTGCAAAGTTGTGTGTACTAAATGAAAAAATGTATAGCTAAGAAAAATGGGAGTACTTATCATGTTGAACAATTAAGACAAACCTTTTATGTAACTCTTCCTGAAGCAGTTGTGTCAAGTATAAGCTGTGTTCAACTACACAGAGAAAGTCTTCCCTGTCTGAAATCGTTAGTTATGTCCTTTTACACACCCCATTATACAGCCCGGCGCTGCTGAGTATTAGGTTTTAGTACACAAATCCAGGGAGTGTTGTCTAACCTGGGGTCATCTGTGCCCTCGGGGTAATCTAAGGTAAAAATTGTCAGGCTCCTTCAGCTCGATTTCATGATGATGGAATCCTGAGCAGGGCAGAGATCAGCAGCTGTTGCAGCCCAGACACTAAACGCGAAAAAGCCATATAAGGCAATCTGAATGAGGCCATTTAAGGTAACACCACGGAGACTTAACTTTAGGATTAAAGTTTAAATGTTTCATCTTCTTCCGCAATTAATAAATGACTTATTTTTAAAACTAATGGGGGGGGAAATGGTAGAAGAAGAAAGGGGACTTTAAATATACTTGCTCTTTTTTCTTTAAGACTTGTTACCTTAAAGCAATTTTTCTATTTTTAATAAGTAATAAAATTATTGTTTTAAATAATTTGGTAGAATGTTGGGAAATAGAGCTAAGAGACATGTAAGGTTTCAGGAGTTTTGCAGGGCTTTGCCTTGAAGAAATCTGTGGGCGTGTTAGTTCACAGATCAGAAGCTGCTGAGCAACAAGGGAGACATTCCACCGCTCAGGGGCGCCGGATCTCAAGGCCTGCAGGCCAGTGCCTGGAACCTGTGCAACACAGAGCTCGGCATGGGGCCCAAGGCTAAGAAACTGATGGAAAGATGTCAGCCCAGCAGACAACTTACAGCTGGAACTGTCATAAACTTCAAGGCTATTCCTGCTTCACTCCTTACCACATATCTTGGTATATAGAGAAATAGATTAGTATACAGGCTCAGTGTTCCTGCTTTATATTTTTTTATCTTTAACTTGTATGTTCAGCTAGGTCTATTTTTAACTTAGGACTTGAAACGTTTATCTTGAAAAAATTTTGTAACCATATACTCTTGTAAATAAAATTAGATAAGGATCCCTTAAAACCCTTGGGGAGCCTTAAAACCTGAATAAATAATCTGTACACATAATTCTGTGACCAAGGACACCTCCTTGCTATACTAATACTGATACGAGATTTCACTCAATACCTCCTGGCTCAAAAAAATACTAAAAATTCCTGACTTCCCCGTCTCTTTAAACTACATTTTCTCTCTGTCTCTATTATTTCCAAATCTCTTGCAACGATCCTGCCTGGGACCTGTTTTGCTGGGAGCGTCACGAACTCCCGACAGTAGAACAATATCTTGGGGGAAATAATAAATACGAATTGAAATTATTTGATTGTATTTTTAAAGTCCATGTGTGAATAAGGAAATGTTAATTAAAATATGATACGTTAAGATTATTCAGTATTTTCTTTTTCATTTTTAAATTCAAGGTTAATGTTTATGCATGTGAAGAACTTGTAGACAGAGGGGGTAAAGGACTTAGACACTACCCCATCCATTAACCATTCCAAAGCCATCCCCATAAACTTCCAATGTAATAATAATAACCAAAAAACATGCTTACTGTGCCAACGCAGTTGCAAGACAAGTTCCATAAACACTCCTCCCTACCCCAACCTAACAGCCAATTTACTGCCTCTAAGACCCTTCTATAGAGAAATTCTAGAGTGTCCAATGATATAAAACAACATTAGAGGTACCTCATGTCTCCCAGTGCCTCTATGAATATCCTGTGTTCAAAATAAACTGTTATCAGAACCCATGTATGATTTATTTTTCTGCTTAAAACTTCATTTCTAAATATATCCCACATATGGCATGAATTGAAATCCTTAATACATGTAAAACACTTACTAACTACTAAGTGTGCATGTATGTGTATATGTGCACTTTTCCTTGCCACAAAAATACTGAAGATTATGTTATTAAAAAAACTTACAAGACCAACTTAATATCTACTGTGATTATTAGAAACATTCCTATCAGATTTCTACTGTAAATAAGGAATTAGAAGAGGATCTCTCTGACTGCCTGAGCAAATGCCAGGTAAACTTCTAAGTTATAGAGTATTTAGATCTTTGGATTTGTTATAAACAGCTTTATGCTTTTCTTTTAGCCATTACTTGTCGCAAGCAAGATGGAGGCCAGGCTGGCATTCATGAGTGCCTCCAGTATGCAGGCCCTGTGCCAGCACTTACCCAAGCCTGCCAGATCCCCTGCCAAGACGACTGTCAATTGACCAGCTGGTCCAAGTTTTCTTCATGCAATGGAGACTGTGGTGCAGTTAGGACCAGAAAGCGCACTATTGTTGGTAAGAATAATTAGGACGCCAAAGCCAGCACAAGTCAGACCGAGAGAGATCTGACAAAGTATTTGAAACATGCAGGGATATGTCTTATTGTTGCTATACTTTATACCTAGTATGTCAGTGGATTCCGATGTGTATTTCAACATAAGTTGGCAGTGATAAAAGCATTATGTACTTTTAGTAGAAAGAAAAAGCAGCCTTGAGGATTCAATCCGACCCCCTATACAATACACGGTAGATTATTTTTTGGTTTAAACATGTTCCTTTAGTGGACTACCTATTGATTGTAAAGCACTTGGAGCAAAGATTTGGGGGAACAGGAGAAAAAGTTGCCGCATCATTTACTTAACCCATTCTCACTGTCAGAGCCTCAGATTATCCTTCACCTCCTAGAAGGAGGAATACAACATTAATTCTGTATCTGGAAACTGTGGTTTAAAAGGCAGTCAATGACAAGAAGCAGGGATACGAGCAAGAGCAGAACCATCATTCTGAACTAAAGCCTAGTGTATTTGAAAATATTGTCAGTGCAAAAGAAATCTAAAAATATCAGTGCTAGTAGACTATTCAGAATTTAAGTTATAAAATGAACCACCTATATAAAAAAGACTATTGAAAACTACAAAATGCAGCTTATGAAAGAGATAAGTATATATAATTAATCATATGTACTGTAATTGAAGAGTATATAACATGCAATATATAT